AACGTTCTTCGTTGGTTCGGACCCCTTTGACTTTCTGTTCCCACTGCCTGAGATTGCATCGATACCGACCCTTGATACGGAATGACGGATGGATTGCTCAGTCTTGGAGGAACGTGTACAGGGTTGGGAGCCAACCGAGCTGTCAGATCTTGTCCGGAGATCCGGGATGAATGTTGTGCGCCATCCATCCTCACCTCACCAAACTGGTATCGCTGCGTCGAGACTGGGGTTAAAGGTTTCGTTTGCAGGTTAACTCTGGGGGGAGGAGTCGCATTTTGAGCCAAGGCATGTACAGTGGGGGAGGTCCCAGAGCGTAACTGGGGGCTCCTCGTGGCCATGTTACCGGGGTTAAGGAGTTCAGGAACCTCGATATTCCTGGGCGATGAATGTTTCTGTGCCAGGAAACGACCATCAGATCCATGGAGCTGCCCTTTCTGGTCAAATTGCTCCGGAGGGAACTCCCCTACGCTTTCGAGTTCGCATTGAACCATATACGAGGTTCCCCGATTATCCGCGACCAGTCTGCGACGGAATTCCAAAGCTCTTTCTAGATTCGATCCAGAAAGTTCCTCCGACAGCATCAGAGTGTCTGATTCCGCTAGTAACGTCCGGTGTCGGGTCTCCTGTGAACACAACATCGCTTCGGACTCCTCACTCCTGACCAGAAGCTGGTGCATATGCCTCATGGGCGTGTACGTGTATACCGTCTGCCCGTTACGGACCCGGACGGGACTATCCTGATCAGGCATTGACTCCACTGGGGCCAGGAGGTGAGCCGTGGTGTACCTCCTGCGTCTACGATTTTTTGCAGCGATTGCGTTAGCATCCTCGTTACTTTCCTCATCGATTTTAGCTGCTGCTTCCGCTAGGTTTGCGTTCCGAAGTATTTGGATCGCCTGGTAGTTCGGTATGTTCACCCTCGAAGGGGGAGGTTCAAACCGTACGGCTCCTGATCTGTAGTTAGAGGCTCGGTACAATATACGTAGCCCTGCTTCGCCACAGAATTCCTTCTCCCTTCCATGGGTATGAGGGAGGAGGGGAAGTATTCCCCTCGAGTTTCGGAACGATCGCCCGTAACGTGCCTCTGCCTCTAACAGTTCCAACATCCTCTCTGGGTCCAATAGGACGTTGTACAGCCAGAGAAAATCTGATCGGTTCGCGGGGGTCATCAGCCACTGCTGGGCCTTCTCTGGGAGGTCTATCTCCAGTTGAGTTCCCACTGTTAGGAACTGTACTCGTAGGTCTGAGAATTCGAGACCGTCTCCCAATATTTCGATCCCCATTGACTCCAATACCTCCCTTAGGACCATAGCTACATCCTCCGGGATACACTCCTGAATTCGAATGACGTCTTCCAGACGCAATGTCATTTCGGACAAGGGTTGTACTGGGAAGTTGGTCCTGCTATGGTGTATTGCGTGTGTACGCTCCCAGTTGGGCGTATTCATAGCTGGGCTCTTCAGGAGACTGGAGAGTGAACTTCCTCGTCTCGGGGGAGGAAGGTTAAGGGACTGTACTGGAGGTGTTGGTAACCTCCGGGATGAAGTCCGAGATTGTTCGGATACGGCAGGGGATACCCTCCTCTCTGGAAGTTTCTCCTGTTGTCGTACTGTGAGAGGGTCAGTACTCCCCCCTTGTATCCTTTCGATAGCGGCTACTTGACCGCTGACTCTTCCACCCGCGTTCGAAGCTGACTCCATGTCTAGCTGCGGTATCGGTCCAGGGGGAGGTCCTCTCGTTCCCCAGGTAGGGGAGTATGCGAAACCTCCCATGGGACTACTGGCAGGTTGGGCGTAACCCATGGAGGTAAACCTCCGTTGTGGTGGTCCCATCCCAGGTTCCACTGGAGGGGGCCCCTGAACCTCCGGTTGACGTCCCTCTGGGGTCCGGATGTTACTGGCGCCTATGCTAGTTTTCACTCAGGGGAGGTGTGTTTAGCCAAAACTTGAGCCCACGGGCCCCTAAATTGCGGATCATGAAGCGCCCTACTACAAGGTACATGGTGAGGTAAGGAGTAAGTAGCATACTACAAGTACAGAGTAAGAAAGAAATGAAATGAAATGAAATTACAAGTACAATAGAGGGATGGGAGGGAGGGTGACAAGAAAAAAGCGCAGATCAAGCTAGATCTGCTCAGATAACAGTCAGTACCTAGTAGAATGAAAGATCAGAGCTGATCTGCGCACTGAGAGCCCTGATATCCGAAGATCTGACAATCTGGAGGTGATATGAAGCAGTAGATGTGGTCAGATCTGTATGGATGTGTTGTGAGCTCTGTACAGTGGAGAGATCAGTGATAGTGGCGAAGCCATACCAGAAAATCCGTAATCTGAGACTCTAGAACGAAGCCTGTGGTCTGTACAGATGTAGGAGAGGCTGGTGGGGTGATGTTAGAGCTATCAGAGCTGTGGGGAGTGTGCAGATGTCCTACCCAAATCCGAAGATGGTGGGGGAAAGGAAGGAAGAAGGACAGAGTCAGATGACACTCCTGATCAAGCTAATCACAGGCCTCTGCTCGGAACTCCGGCACCTGTGACTGCCAGAAGTGTCCCATGACCTATGCCTATTTTCACTCATAGAGAAGTGTTTAGCCATAAACTGGGCCAAAGCCCCATTAAATTGAATGCATCATGCAGGGCTATAAGACCTATGAGATGTTGTTGAGGGGTGGCTGGTGGTGTGAAAAATGTGAATGAGGCATGAGATGAATGGATGATTATTAGAGAGAGTTAGAGAGGGAAATGAATGGCCTGTATCCAGAAGACCACTGGGAATAAAGTGTTAAGTGTTTCAGGAATATTTCCAAAGTAAGTATTAAGCCAATCTCAAACTTGAGAAAGGTGTCACTACTTGTTCAGAAAATTCCTAATTCACCCTAGAGCTGACATCCCTGTACAGTGTTAAAACACTGAAGGATGAGAAGTGGATAAAGTCCAAATAATTGCTGAGCTGAATCCTTGTAAAGACTTGAATCTATAGGATGTAACTCAAAAGTGATCCAAACTTGGAAGACAAATTTGGTGAGTCAGATGAAAATTCCTGTATAGGCAGGGCCTAAGGATATAAATCTGAGAGATGGTGCAGAGCCTATGATAGAAAACTCTAGTGAAAATCCTTGTATAGGTGGGACCTAAAGGATGTAGCCAGATATAGATTCTTGCACAGGTGGGACCTGGGGAATAAATTGTTGAAGGAGACTGCACTTGTTGAAGTTGAAACACACTGGAGCGCCCTTCAGCTAACCCAAGCAGTATGCCACCCAGCTCAGTGCACAGATTGTCAATGCCTTAATACAAGACTAGTAGGTTGGACTACAAGCCTTATAGTTGCTCAGTACTCCAATAAACACTGTAGATATGACAGAAGTCAATATAGAGTGAGGATTGATTTGTATCTTTCAACTATAGTAGGAATACAGGTTTGTTTGGTCTTGTATGTACTAGAAACGCATGAGGCGTGATAATAGGTGTCCACAATTGTGCGCACCTATGAAAACTAACTAACTACAGTAACACTAAAGAAATAGCTAAGTTATGAGTTGTAAAACTAAGAAATGAAGTCTGTAAGTACTTTATACACTAAGTAAGTCACTACAGTGATAACTAGGAGTGATGAGGCGCTGTGTAATGTATGTAGAAAGTGTTCTATCACTACAGTATGCTCAACATAAATCCCAAGGCAAAACTGGATAGAACTCCCTGTATAGATGGAGCTACAGATGTAGATCTGAGAGCTGTACACCTGTAAGCCAAATGGTGACAATATTTGGAGAGGTGAGCTCAATTTTGATGATGTGAACCATAGAGACTAGATAGTGAAGATCCTTGTATAGGTAAAACCTAAAGGATGTAACCTGCATAGGTGGGACCTGATAGCTATAAACTGAAGGTGGAAATCCTTATATAGCTGAAGCCAGGAGGATGGGAACCAGCAGTGAAAAGGAGATTTGAAACTAAAGGTGAAGATCCTTGTATAGGCAAAGAAAGCCTAAAGGATGTGAACCTAAGGCCTAGAGTTGAAGATTCTTGTACAGGTGGGACCTGAAGAATATAACTCCAAGGTGAAGATCCTTGTATAAGCAGAACCCAAGGGATCTGAACCCAAGATTAGATGGAGGATTTGAAAGTGAAGCCAAAGTGTGACTAAGTGAAATCCTTGTACAGGCAGGGCCTGAAGGATAGGGACCAGGAAGATAGGGACCAGAAAGAGGATCCTTGTACAAGCAAGGCTTGAAGGATTTACAGGAATGGAATGTCTTGAACAATAGCTGAGAGTGAGAAAATAGTCTGAATTTTTATAGCAGTAAGTGATTAAAAATTAAAAAATCATGAAAATAACACTTAGCAGATTAAATTTCTGTAAGACCACTATGTGGAGCATCTGACCATAAGGGATTGAAAGAATAGTGATGATTGGTTGCAGTCCTTGTTTCAAGTTGACTGAAGCTATACAAATATTGGATGATAGCTGAGAAACTGGAACAGAATGGACAGAAGTGCTAGGTTGGAATCCTTGTTTAGGGCAGGTCCTAAAGGATGTAAACCAGGAGAGGGCAGAATATTAATGATTTGAAGGATTGGTTGGGATCCTTGTCCAGGAGCATATGGAAGCCTGAAGGATATAATAAACCAATTGCTGATCATCATAAGATGAAGAAATGAGATCCCTGTGCAGTATAAAACTGAGGGATAAGTGGAAGGAGTAATGTGTGGTTGACTCCTTGTACAGAAACAAAGCCTGAAGGAAATGGATAAGCCCAAGTGTAAAACTTGTGTGGCTAAGGAAAGAATAGTTTGTAGATGAGGAAAGGATTCTAAATCCAAAACTCCAAAGCCTTTTAAAGAGGCAAACTTGAAGTGAGGTGATTGACTGGAGTGAAAGGTTCACTGAAGTGAGGTGAATCACTGAAGTGAACATTGGAAGCTAAATAAATAGCTCAGATTTGGTGCCCAATATCCTGAGACAATGTGAAGTATGGGCAGTAGCTCTTCCTTTTGATTACAAACTGCTTCAGGAAATGGATTTTATCCAATATCTGAAGAGAATGCAGAGGACTAAACAATCACTGACAAGTGAAAGTTCAAGGGTCCAGACCACCACTGGTGAGAAAAATGACCAGGCCACTATTGGCAAGAGAAAATCTATAGCAGAAGTTTGAGCTTCACTGTAGCTATATAGACAATGAGCTGAAGTGAAGGATTGGTGTTAAAATGTGAAGGAGGTCCAAATTGAGCAGAAAAAGCTCTTGAGAAGCCTCCTGAAGAAGGTGAACAAAATCAGGAACTAATCCTGAAATCAGCTGAGAAGCCAATGGTTGAATACATCAGGAGCTGAATTATGGATAATCAACTTGACAGAGGAGTTGAAGGATAGCAGCAGGAAGCCAAGTAGAAGGCTAAGAGAGAAGGATATAGATAGATAGGGCTGGATATATCCTGAATCAATATAGAGCAGCTTGGATATGAGAGTATTGGAGAGCCAAGGAGACTGAGGGTGATGAGGAATTAGACAAGCATGATGGATAAATCTGAGGAAATTCCGAGTCCTAGCTGAATAAGCTGGATAAGACAGAATATCTCCTGGGTTTACAAATGCTGCAGTCTCAACCCTACAGACTGATGAGGCTGAATTATGCCCAAATAAAATGGAATGAGTAACAGATTAACTTGTTCAACTCTCAATTATGGAGGCTTATTTGACCTGCAGAGATTCAGATACCAGGTAAATCAGGCTAGATAGAAGAAGCCCATGTAGCAGGAATAGGCCTAGATGAGAGGCTGAAGGACACCCAAGAGGTGCTGAAGATAATGGAGAGTCAGCCTTGGATGTGAGAAGCTGTAGAAAGCCAAAGGAGGTTGAGGTTCAGAGAGATAAAGAGTTTCTCCAAAGCAATCAGGCACATGGAGTGGCCTAAATGGCTGAATATGGCTCTTGAATCATAGCAGATCACCCTGGATAAGGAGTTGAAAGAAATCAAGAGGAAGCTGAAGGTGCTGATAAGATAAATCAGGAATCTCAGCTGATTAGGCTGGATAAGGGCAGGCAGGATATAGAGCAAGGAAAACTTGAGTGAAGAACAAGGTAAAGTGATCCAAATAGCTCCTAGATTATGGGGGATCAGCCTGGATGAGAAGATAGAGGATAACCAGTGGAAAATAGTGATTTTGAAGAGGTAAACAGGCCTCAAAAAGTCTCAGATCACAGCTGATCAGACTGATTGAGTGACAAAGAGAAGCCTGGAGATGAAGGCAGAGATGAAGTGGCCTAGGTAGGTCCTGGGTGAGGTGCTACAAGACACCAAGAGGAAGATGGAGGATTTGATGAGTGAAAGGAGCCTCAGGAAGTCCTAGATCTCAACTGATCAGGCTGGATAAGGCACATAAAGGAGGCTGAGAGCAAAGAAGGGATAAGGTGGCCTGGATTAAGTCCTGGATCTCAACAGATTAGCCTGGATAAGAGGCTACAGTGTAGCAGGAGGAGGATAGAGGTGTAGGTGAAGGATATAAACCTCAGGAAGTCCTGGATCACAGCTGATCAAGCTGGATATGGGCCAGGAAGGTGTCTGAGATGAGTGAGGAGATGGAGTGCCTGAATAGAGCCTGAATCATCACAGATCAGGCTGGATAAGAGGCTGGGGAACATCAGGAGGAAGATGAAGGTGTTCATGAGGAAGATAAGCCTCAGGAGGTCCCAGATCACAGCTGATCAAGCTGGATAAGGCATGGATGGCAATGAGGAGCTTGGGAAAGAGATTCCCAAGGTTTCTGAGGGTATCAGGGAAGTGAGAGAGCTGGGATCTGAAGATCAGAATGAAGGAGGTCCAGGGAAAGGTTGAGATGAAGATGTGCTATGGAATAGCAAGGAGAATGACCAAAAAATGACCAGATCAACCTAGATCTGCCCAAACATCAGTTGAAAACCATGTAAAACACCCATAAAAGATATCATAAACACACTGAGAACCCAGACCTCTAATCTATACACAAAAGACAAGAAGAAATGATGTTGAAGCTATCAGAGCTATGACAGGTCCTTGAATCTGAGGCTAGGCCTGTACAGATGAAAGGAGGACCTGGAGGATGATGTTGAAGCTATCAGAGCTGTGGAAGAAAGCCAGTGTTCTCACCCAAATCACCAAAGTGGCAGGAGATGGTGGTGGTAAGAGAAAAAGGAAGAGTTGATGGGATCACATGATTCTGACCTTTTTCACACAGGCCTCTGCTCAGAAACTCTGGCACCTGACTGAAACAGAACACATGATCAACACATCACCTGATTCAACTGGCCCCATGTGAGGTGCTACCTGTACACATCTGAGAACAGAAGTGAGGTGTGACCTGTGCACATGTTGAGAAGTGAGGTCTGGCCTGTACACAACTGAAGAAGTGAGGTGGAAACACCTGTACACAACTGAAGAGGTGAGGAACACAGCCTGTACACTTCTGTAAAAAATCAGGTGGAACCTGTACACATCTGAGGGTGAGACCCTGTACAGAAGTGAGGTAAAACCTGGAGAGAGAGAGATAAATCTGTACACAGCTGAAAAGTGAGGTTGTGGAGAAACCTGTACACATTTTCAGAAGTGAGGAATATCTGTAGAGTTTTTGGTGAGAGGCAGCAACTGAATATTTATGTACCTGTCAGAAGTGAGGAGGAGGCCTCCTGTACACCTCCAAGGTACTGAATGGAAGATTCAGTTGCTGGTGGGGATCTGTTGGTTTGCAGAGGCCTCCAGAAACGCTCCCTACCCTTGGAATCCGCCTTCATGTCGACCTGCCTTGATCATCTGACAACAAGTTACCAAAACTTCGGAATTGCAAAGTCGAAGTTGGTGTGTAAAAGTACACACTGCCGGAGCAGTAGTAAAGATAATGACAAACGGATTGCATAGCGTTGTTCCTGACGTGTTCCTGCTGTAGTCCACCAACGCACGCGTGTATATAGCGCGAGGACGACGAGCTATAAATAAAACAAACTCGAAGCTCCAGAATAAAAAGTTGAGCATTCTCAAGAAAAAGTGTTCATAGTGTGAGATCTGATCAAGATATGAACAAGGTGATTGTTGGAGGTGATTGGGGGAGTGGTAATCGAGATATTAGCAGGTGGTGGTGATGGTAGGACAAAGGGAACAACAGCAATTAGATGTATTCATGTGCACTATTGAAGTGATGAACACAGGATCTAATTGCTGTGGTGTATCTGTTGTTTGCAGAGGCCTCCAGAAACGCTCCCTACCCTTGGAATCCGCCTTCATGTCGAGTTTCATCCCCGAACGACTGTTCTGGGATGGACATCAGGCGTTGACCAGCTGCCACCGTGATGACAGTGGAGCTAGCAGCCTGGTTCGATTTTTGAGCTTGTGTCGTGTTTCCACGAGATAAGGCGCTCTTTTGTTTCTTTGATTCGGTTTTGGAACTAGAAGGTCGTTCCGTTGACGTCGCCGACATTTCGTCGCGACGAGTCCGTTCGGTGACGGGAGAGCTTGGTATAATGTAAGACCTGTTGAGCATACTGTAGTAATAGAACACTTTCTACATACATTACACAGCGCCTCATCACTCCTAGTTATCACTGTAGTGACTTACTTAGTGTACAAAGTACTTACAGACATCATTACTTAGTTTTACAACTCATAACTTAGCTATTTCTTTAGTGTTACTGTAGTTAGTTAGTTTTCATAGGTGCGCACAATTGTGGACACCTATTATCATGCCTCATGCGTTTCTAGTACATACAAGACCAAACAAACCTGTATTCCTACTATAGTTGAAAGATACAAATCAATACTCACTCTATATTGACTTCTGTCATATCTACAGTGTTTATTGGAGTACTGAGCAACTATAAGGCTTGTAGTCCAACCTACTAGTCTTGTATTAAGGCATAGACAATCTGTGTACTGAGCTGGGTGGCATACTGCTTGGGTTAGCTGAAGGGCGCTCCAGTGTGTTTCAACTTCAACAAGTGCAATCTCCTTCAACATAATCAGCATTTGCCCCTCATCAGGGTGTCAGGATTGGAATTAGTCATCAATCCTAACAACCCGGTTACGCACGTATATCCTGTCCCAAAGGTGAGTGGGATCCGATTTCATTGTTGATTACAAGTTCTAAATCTCAACTAGGTATTCTTTGACAACGATTCAGTAATGCCAACCCCGACCAATTGACTTCGATATAAGAGGATCTAAGCGACCAGAGAGGACAAGTTTCCGTAATATCATTTGGGATGAAAGGATCGATCTGTATCAACGTAACGAGAACAATAGATTTCCTTTAATTTTAATCGTGCCTTTCCTTTATTTCTCATCTTAGCCTCTGCTTTATGTTCAAGTTCCAAAACCTTTACAAAGGCAATCGCCGTCATATATAAGCTAGGGCAGCTAGCTTTCCCTCCGGAAACACCTTTGTCCATTATGAGCTCGGCAAGTGTCATCTCACTCACCTTTCAATCAGTCGTCTCAAACTGCTATAGAAAGTCCGCATCCTGTCATCTAAAACCCAGCACTTGCAAATTTTGGAGCAGCAGGTCGAGGCAAAGCATCGAGAGATTCTCCAGCTTCGTAGCGAGGCCCAGGATCTGCGCCGACAAGAAGAAGCTCCCCCTCGAAAGACACCAGAAGTCAACGTAAATATCGTTTCGTCTTCTATTGATTAACAAAAATATTCAAAACCTAATTAGATTGGCGTGCAACCTGAATACGAGCATGCTCTTGCTCGGTTAGAGAGAGCGACCGCATTGACGCGAAGTTTCCGTACCCAGATACTGGCTTGCTTGGATTGCGATCTGAATGACACGAAATATATAGACGCAATCATGACAAAGGAGGTTCGTATGATGCTTCATTTGCCGACGGGAGGACGTGTCGTAATTCATCTTCTAGTCGAAGCAATTCTGGGCTTTATTGGAGCAAATTAAACATTCGAAAGCAGAGATCATCATGCTAAAAGCTGTAAGTATTGTAATCTTGAACTCTCAAACATTAACAAATGATGCAAACGTCACCAGGAACCTTCTCGTGGTGTAGACACTAATCAAGACACCCCTACATCGGCTTTAACAGCGCTCCTGGAGGAACAATGTCTAGTCCTTTGCAATATGGCTCAGAAACTGAAAGGTTCTGGTCATGAAGATCGTCTCTTTCAGGAGTGTACCGAATTATATCACAAAGCATGTATGATTGAGTAAATGTAATTTTCATTGCTAGATAATGCTTGTAGTAGGGCTGCAGGTAGAAATGATAAGTACATTTGATTTTTCGACTGAAGGAGGTCAATGAATGTAATTCAGACAAAATATGGTATAAAGGTGATATACTAGGAGCATCACTGCCACGAATTCTCCCACCACTGAGATTATCAACCATGTAATCGAAATGCAGATGAAAGCGCCAGTTAGAATCGTCATGTCTATAGCAGTTTGCAGAATAACGGAATCCTGCACAGAAGTAAGTCTATGAGCATAGAAACATAACATATTAGACATTACCATGCCTTCAGCCTCGGCTCGAACTTGAATTGGGGCATAGCGCTGGACCAGTGTGAAGATCACAACACTGGGGGGTACAAATCCGAGAGCAATCGCATGCGGTTGACTTTGAAACATCGTTGAGACCTTCCAGAGAAGCTTTATCAAGAACAGAAGGTAGCTTAAGGCACCTGCATTGAACAGGATCTTGGGAAGCTGAAGAGTATCTAACTGATGAAAATCGGGTGGGTCATGCAATGTAGTTCAAAGCAAGTTGAATATTACTCACCGCGAAAGCCCTGAAGGCAACGAAGCGAAGACCACTCAATCTTGGAATTTCAGGCATAAACTAACGAACAGACTTGAAAGCAAACGTCAACACCAGGAAGTCAATGACCTACACCACGATTACTATTGTTGTCTCTGCTGAGCCTGATTGGCGCGAGTGGTCTCATTCTGATTTGAGAATGAGATTAACTACCAGAATGAGGACTCGCTCACTCGTTTTGATCCTTGATAGGTTGTCTCCGTCATGTTGTTGTTTCCTGCCGCTTTCTGGAATACTGTGAATGTTTCCTCTAAGATGGTCATCTACATGGAGCACTCACCGGTGAGTTGGTCCGCTTCATTGTGTTAGGATTCAATCCTGACACC